GAAAAGAGGGTGGTGATTGATTAGTGATGTCTGCCCCGGGCAGGGGACTGCAGAGTGGTGGAATGCCAGCCCTGGGTTTGCCACCCCTATGCTGAAGGTCCCTGAATAGGCTGAACAATGACAGTCAGGGTGATAAATTGTCAGTACTGTCACTCACCTGGGAGGAAGGAGACCTAGGTTGTAGTCTCCTTCCTAGGTTGTAGTTCAGGTTTTGTCACTGCCCAGTCTAAACCTTGATGGAGCACTGACCTCCTCTCCCACTAGCACTTGCCCTCAGTCCCTCTTTCTGTGCGACTTCTCCCTCTGCCTGGGAAAGGCTGGGGATGGGGGAACTTGCAACAGCTGAAGCCTGGTCCCCTCTGTGCTCTTGGCCCCAGCGACAGGAGAGTGGAGTTTTGTTGCCTGATGCAATGTCTGGCAAGGTACAGTCTCTTATCAGAGCTCCCTTCCCAGCTGCCTTGCGGGGACCCCACCTTCCCCAGGGGGAGGCAGGGCTGGGCTGCAGTCCATTTGGGGCCTCAGTGGAAGGGCCTAGCTGGAGCCCATCCAAGTAGAAAACTGGTTCTCTACTGAGGCACCTTGCCAAGTCAGGGGGGAGCCTGAGCAGAAAGACCCCCAAGGGGAGAGCAGGGAAGGAAGGGAAACCTGTGCCCGGCTTGCTGGGGCAGCGGCCTTGGCTCCCAGCTCCTGGCCCCTTTGCTGTGTGCCTCCTTCCCAATCCGCTTGCCTCAGGCTATTTTCCACCTCCCCAGTGTGTGCACACAGCTGTGAGAGGTTCAAACTGAAAGTCCCAAGATTAATGCATGAACTCCAGAGATGAAGTATGTGAAGTTTTGCCCATAATATACACCCACTGTATACCTCCATAGCAATGTTGCCAGCAATGTGTGCACACGGTCCACTGTGGAGTAACTGCTCTTTCTCCCTCCTCTGCATACCTAGAGTGATTCAGGCACCTTGCAGTGGGCTAAGTGCTTTGGGAACGATGTTCATTCATGTATTCATTCAACAAATACTTACAGGGCACTTACTGTTGGGGGACAATTCTGAGCACCGGGATCATGAAGGCAGAGCAGACAGTGATGCTCTGCTCTCATGAAGCGACCATTCTAGTGGATGCAGAGGGCACCAAGAGCATTTTCATCCAAGAAGGGAATTACGCAGGATGGAGAGAAAGTGAGGGCTGAGGTTAACATTAGGTGGTGGTCAGGGAGGACTAGGAGGAGGGGACACTGGAGCTGAGTCCTGCATGTTAGGAGCCAGTCAGAGAAGGTCTGGAAGAACCTCCAGGGGAAGGATCAGCTGTGCAGAGCTCCCAGGTGGGAGTAGCAAGAAGAGGCGAGAAAGGCGGGGTGGGGTGGGGCAGAGGGAATGGGAGTGGGCAAGAAAAGGCCAAGGGGTCAGGCTCCTTGGAGGGCTTATGTTCTGTGCTGAGTTATGCACTGGGGCCGGGGCTGTCAGTAGCAGCTATGGGGTGGACATTCTAGAAGCTTCCATGTGGCCGAGGAACTGGGTGCCAAGCAGCTGTGATCAGGTGCTCGTGGGTGCTGTGTGGTGAGGAAGGAAGAGTTCGAGAGAGGATGGTGGGCGGGAATTGGGTGGAAAGAGAAACTGCTGATGAAAGACAAGACAGATGAGTGCAACGGCGTGGGGTGGGGGCTGCTATTGCCTAGGGAGATAGTACGGGGGGGGGAGAAGAGTGAACCCGTGTGAGATCCCAGAATGGAGAGGGCTGTGAGGTGACAGGTGGCGGAGGACAGAGGAGGGTGATGCCTCTGAAGACCGTGTGATAGTTATACGTAGTGACAGTGACCGTGTCTCTCAGCCACTGCCGGCTCGAGGGCTGGGCTGGGCACTGCTCCATTGAGTGACTCCCAGCATCTGCAGGACCTGGCACTCAGTGCTCGCTCTCCAGATGGTGGCTGCCATGGAAGAACTCAACACTCTCCTCTTCCTTCCCCTGGTGTTTATTTTCAGCCCGCACAGTGCTGGTCCAGCTGTCCCACGGCCCACTGCACCCGGCAGGCATGTGTGTACCCTGACATTCTTCACCACGGGCCGAGCACCCTGCAAGTGTGGCCTCTGCTGGAGGCAGACAGAGGGACTGTCAGCTTGTTAAGGGGCTATGGAAGATGCCATCAAGTACAGGGGGCTGGGTGGGCATCATCTCCAGGAGGAGCCTGGCCAGGGAGGCAGAACTCACAGTACACCATGAAACCCGGGAGGGGGGGGACGGGGACAAAGCCTCATCCTGTGTCACAGATACCACAGCCTACTTGCAGAAGGCCTCCTGCAGGGCAAGTTCTGCCTGCGCCTTTGCCAAGTGACCCCAATGTGGGCCCTGCCCCCCTCCCTCATGGCCCTGCGATCTGTATCCCTCTCTTACTCCCTGACTCTGGGGACCTCCTGCCTACCTCCCTCTGCTGCCCGGCCACCTGCCCTGTGGACTCCTGAGGCTAAGCAGCAGAGAAGCCTGCCTGGGTGGGCCAAGGAGCTGACAGCCTTCCCTGTGCCCCACGCCAGAGTTCTCAGCCTTGCTTCTTCCTTTTAGGGCAATGCCGGGAAGGATCTTAGGAACCCTGATTGTTCTGAGAATGAGGAGGCTGGGACAGCAACTCAGAAATAGAAACGGTCTCTGGAAGGGAGGAGTAAGAAGGTTCCAGAGCTTGTCATTGAAGCAATCCATCTTTTAAATCTTGCCAAAGCTCATAGAACCAGAGGGGAAAAGGCAACCAGGCCTCTCCCACCACCTCATCACTGCCTTCCCCCACCTCCTATTCAAGGAACACTTACAGGGCACCAGATGTGTTCCTCACAGAAACCTTATGCAGTGGGGGCTGCCCTATTAGTGCTAAGGGGGAAGAAACTGAGGCCCAGAGAGATTAAGTCATTTATATAAGGATGGCACAGCATGATACAGGCTCAGGAACAACTAGAACCCAGGACTTCTGGTGCCGGCTCTTTCTGCTTCCCTCATCATCAAGCATAGGCAACCCTCAGCTGAGAGCTGAGAGGCCAGAAAGTGGGGTTCCAGCACCTTGCACTCTGTAAGTGTGGGACAGGTGGCCTCATGCCACCCCACAGGCAGATTGGGGCACGTGGAGAATGCAGCCTCATCAGTTATTCTACACACTCATGCCCTTAGCAAGGCGGGCTGGTCCCACTCTCAGGGAGCTTGCAGTCTGAGAAAAGACGAAAAACCATCAACTGGAAAGCCTTCCCATGCATGCTGCAGTGGGTCCCTGTGACACAGAGGCTCCAACCACCTGGACCTGGGAGGGTGGCAGGTTCCTGCTGGAGGAACCTGGGTGGGTTATTTGCCCTCTCTCAACCTCAGTTCCCTTTTCTGTAAAACAGGCTCATTGCTTTCCCATAGGGTAATGAGGATTTGAGAAAATGCAAATCCAGTGCTTAGCATGGCCACAGGAGGCTGGCACTTAGTAGGTACTCAGAAAATGTTTGTTTCAGGAGTGCATGAGAAAAGATGCAGGAGAATTAGGAAGAGCAGGGCTGTCCCATTTGCACTGGTGCTGGCCTGTAGCCCTCTTCCTCTCTGGGACCCTCTGTGCCCAGTCACTCTCACAGAGTTCTCTGACAGCTTTGCCCCCACCACAGTTACAGGGGCTCCCCATAACAGGGTGCTCGGAGGCTCCCTCTCACTGCTTTCCCCAAAGAACAGGCTAAAGCCACTTCCGCTGTGTGACAAGGTGTGGCCTATGTCCAGCATCTGTGTTTTGTCAACATTTTTTTTGTTGTTGTTTTTCTCAAAAGGGCTCAGGCTGGCTGAGAGGTTCCAAATCTGGAATGATTTTGCACCTCTTTGTCCTGGGGGACACTGCACCTGTCTTGAAACCATTGTGACTGGCACAACCGAATGGGGCTGTGCTGCTGGCATCCAGTGGGTTGAGGCCCAAGGATGCTGCTAGACAATCCTACAACACACAGGACAGCCAGCCCCCAGTGACAAAAAACTAGCCAGCCCAAAATTTCAACGGCTGATTTTGGGATACCCTGTCCTACTTCTGCGTAAGCACACTGTATCTGCACCTTTCTTTTCTTTTTTAAGTCTATTTTGTGGGTTATTTCATCAACATTTACAGATCCACCTAATAGGATTATGGGCTGTTTTAAAGTTAACTTTTTTTAACAATTAGAATGGGTATCCCCTAAAATAATGCTAAAAAAGTGTAGTAAATACATAAACCAGCAACATAGTCACTTATTGTCAAGTATTGTGTACTGCATGTTGTTGCATTGCTGAACTGTTACATGACTGACAACACTACAGTAGCACCGTCTCACACACACAAGCAATCATCAGCATCACACTATGATGTCAGAGTATAATGTCATAGTTATAATGTCACTAAGCAATAGGAATTTTTTGGCTTCATTATAACTTTTTGGTGGTACTGGGGTTTGAACTCAGGACCTTGCACTTGAGGTCCTGAGCCATGCCCCTCAGCCCTTTTTGCTTTAGCTCTCCCCCAGCTCCCAACGGTATCTTGCACTCAGGCCAGCCTACCACCATCCACCTATTTCCCATGTACCTGGGATGACAGGCACACGCCACCACGCCCAGCTATTGATTGTGATAGGGTCTTGTGAACTTTTTGCCCCAGCTGACTTCTAACTGTGGTCCTCCCACTCTTTACCTCCGGAGCAGCTAGGATTGCAGGCGTGAGCCACAGTATCCAGCTGAGCTCCATTATAATCTTAGAGGATCATCATTGTATAGTCAGTCTATTGCTTACCTAAATATCCTATGTGGCACAGACCTTTGATCTGTGAGGTCAAGGAATAGGTCAAGGGATAGGTGGGGTGGTTTGATAGCATTTTAAATGACCTACTAAAGAGACCTCAAGTCTTCTGGGGCACAGTCTGTTTTGAGATGGGTTTGGGGTCCTGACTGCTAGACAGGGCCAGGTGCCTCAAAAGTCTGGTGGAGGCATTGCTTCGTCTAAAAGACAAGGGTATCTTGACCACCGATCTCTCCACAGGACAAGGGTATCCCCCACCTGAAGACGAGCAGGGTTCTGAGTGATGCTTCTGAGCTGAGTGCCCGTGACCAGCCCAAAGAGCTCCACGGCACCCCCTTTCCCGATGGAGAAAGGACTTGCTTTGCCCCAGGACTTCCGGGACTTCCTGTACAGCCTGAAGATGAGAAGCAAATACGCCCTGTTCCTGGCTTTTGTGGTGGTAGTTTTTGTCTTCATTGAAAAGGAAAATAAAATCATATCGAGGTGAGGGACTCAAGTACAAGTCTCCCTGCAAGGGGGCAGTGTGGCTGGGGGCAGAAGTGATTATAGGGATCTCTATAGACCAGCAAGTGCATCCATCCCTTCAACAGGTGGGCACCGGGTCCTTCCTGTGTCCCAGGCTACCCTCGGCATGTCTGCACAGTGGTGAGGCCTGGGCTCTGGCATCTGGCAGTCTGGGCCAGCACCCCATGCTGGCACTTCCCAGCTGTGAGAGCTTAGACAAGATATTTCACTTTTCTGGGTCTTTGGTTCCTCTTCTGTAAAATGTGACCAATGATGGGACCTGGAAAGACTGAATGAGAAAATGTAAAGCATTTAGCCCAGGGCCTGGCACAGAGTTGATGTCTGGTATTTGCTATCTGTGACTACCTATCATTATTCCTTTACTTCCTGGCAAGAATGATGGCTCACATTAGCCCCTCTACAAGTCTAGATGTCATGGGTAATGGGGAGCCCATGCAAGACAAGGTCAAGGTCATGGTATGGATACTCTGGTGGGCGGGGCTGCCATGTGTATCTTCCCAGGTTGTATATGCTCAGCTGCAGGGGAGTGTCTCTCAGATAGGGTACTCTGGGGGTGACCCCCCAACCCCCCATCTCTTGAGTTAGCAGTGTACTGCAGTGGGCCTGGTCCATGAAGAATGTTTTCTTAGAGCTGTTCTCCCAGGCACAAGCCTGACATGAAAAGCATCAGTGAAGGTAGGTAAGTTAAGGACTGAACTATGGAGCAAGTGCTGTCAGTCCCCTTCTTCTCCACACACCCACAGCCCCGCGCACACACACACCATCCCCCCAGCATGCACTGATCCGGTTCTTTCCTACCGCAACCCCTGCACCTCTGCACCCAAGAGTGCTCTCCCGCCTGCACACTAGGAAGCCAGATGTGCCAGGGAGCAAACATCTCTGAGCTCCCTGGTAGGACTGAGCCTCCTGGGTGCGTGGGGGTGACCTGTTCCGTAGTTTTACCCGCTTTGTGGATGGCTTTTCCTCCTCTATCCACTTCCCTACCCATTCCTTCCTATGATCAGTTGGCAAATGAACCACTTTACACTCACAATCTGCTTCTGGAAAGACCCAACTAAGATCAGCTTGAAAGACTGCCCTCCAAGTTAGTCACTAACCCGGGTCTCCCCTTGTCCTCATCAGGGTCTCCGACAAGCTGAAGCAGATCCCCCAGTCCCCAGCGGATGCCAACAGCACGGACCCAGCCCTGTTGCTGGCTGACAACGCGTCCTTTCTGTCCCTGAGCGAGCTGGATTCGGCCTTCTCCCAGCTGCGGAGCCGCCTGCACAACCTCAGCCTGCAGCTGGGCGTGGATCCAGACGCAGAGGCCACCAGGGAGGAGGAGGAGCACCCATCCCAGCTGGCTGCCTCGGGGCACCGGCGCCACGTGCTGCTCATGGCCACCACCCGCACGGGCTCCTCGTTCGTGGGTGAGTTCTTCAACCAGCAGGGCAACATCTTCTACCTCTTCGAGCCGCTGTGGCACATCGAGCGCACGGTGTCCTTCGAGCCGGGGGGCGCCAACGCCGCGGGCTCTGCGCTGGTGTACCGCGACGTGCTCAAGCAGCTCTTCCTGTGCGACCTGTACGTGCTGGAGCACTTCATCAGCCCGCTGCCCGAGGACCACCTGACGCAGTTCATGTTCCGCCGCGGCTCCAGCCGCTCGCTGTGCGAGGACCCGGTGTGCACGCCCTTCGTCAAGAAGGTCTTCGAGAAGTACCACTGCAAGAACCGCCGCTGCGGGCCCCTCAACGTCACGCTGGCCGCCGAGGCCTGTCGCCGCAAGGAGCACATGGCGCTCAAGGCCGTGCGCATCCGCCAGCTGGAGTTCCTGCAGCCGCTGGCCGAGGACCCGCGGCTGGACCTGCGCGTCATCCAGCTGGTGCGCGATCCCCGGGCCGTGCTGGCCTCCCGCATGGTGGCCTTCGCCGGCAAGTATGAGACCTGGAAGAAGTGGCTCGCCGAGGGCCAGGACCGGCTGAGAGAGGAGGAGGTGCAGCGGCTGCGGGGCAACTGCGAGAGCATCCGCCTGTCGGCAGAGCTGGGCCTGCGACAGCCCGCCTGGCTGCGCGGCCGCTACATGCTGGTGCGCTACGAGGACGTGGCGCGCAGGCCCCTGCAGAAGGCGCGCGAGATGTACCGCTTCGCCGGCATCCCGCTGACCCCGCAGGTGGAGGACTGGATCCAGAAGAACACGCAGGCGGCCCGCGACGGCAGCGGCATCTACTCCACGCAGAAGAACTCCTCCGAGCAGTTTGAGAAGTGGCGCTTCAGCATGCCCTTCAAGCTGGCCCAGGTGGTTCAGGCCGCCTGTGGGCCCGCCATGCGCCTCTTCGGCTACAAGCTGGCCAGGGATGCCGACTCCCTTACCAACCGCTCCGTCAGCCTGCTGGAGGAGCGGGGCACTTTCTGGGTCACGTAGGGGGCTTGGGGCCCTCTGGACCCCTCCTTGTGAAAGGCCCGCCCTGCCTTCCTCCCGCACACCCGGGCTGACCTTGAGAGGCAGCCCTGGCGGAGAGCAATGGGAAGCTGTGCTGTGAACAGCACCCCTTCGCTGTAGCACTAGGTCCCAGCCAGCTAGCTTCCCCAGCACAGTCGGGCTCTGGGGTTCCTCTGACATCAGAACAGCTACCCCTCCCCTTGAAGGCCTGCAGGTCCAGGCAGGCTCGGGCTTATTGGCAAGCCTCTCTCTCTCTCTTTCTCTCTCTCACACACACACACACACAAAGACACAAAGACATACATAAAACACACACTGATGCCTGGAGGCGCTGTGGGCCAGAGTCCAAGTGTTTAACAACCTGAAGGGGCCTAGGACCCTACAGTCACTCAGATCTTCTGCAGGTTTTAGCATTAACCTTTTTTTCCCTGGATTGTAGAGAAGCCTGGAATCTGGGCATGTCCTTGGGGAGGGAGTAGGGCAGCCCAGGGTGAGGAGGGGGCATTTGAAGCACAGTGGATGGGTGACAGTGGCTGTTTACCAACCAGTACAAAATGATCTGGTGTTTTAATAAACGTGATAATGTGCTGGTCACTGATGAATATCAGCCCTGTGCAGAACAGGACACGTGTATATGAGGACATGCAGGGCTGGGGTGTGACTCAGTGGTAGAATTCTTGCCTAGAATGCTTGAGGCCCTGGGCTCCATCCCCACACCACAAAGCAACAACAAAAATACATACATTCCACATTTGGAGACAGAAAAGCAGCAGAATACCAATCACAAGCCACACACCTCTGTACAGACAAGTTCCCCTATTACGGTATGCCCACAGGGTTTTTCTATATCATACATCCAAAGAAGTGCCTTTAATTACATTTTTTAGGATTATTTGGAGAGGCAGGGGAAAGAAACACATTCAAAGACAATGACTGTTCCCTGACCAGAGCTGGAACTGAAGTGTAACTAAGAACTGCCCAGTAGAAGCCCCTGCCTGCCTGGGATTCTTGTGGTGCCTCTTCTGACATGCCCACATCTCATGTCTCCCAGGCAGGAAGTTTTGAGATGGCATGGCTAACCCTGATTGCAGCCCAAAGACCTGTCCAGCTCTGCTGGTCTCCCAGGGAGCATGTCCATATTTGAAGACTGCCTTGGACCTGACTGGCAGAAGCAGCTTCCATCCCTGCAGGCAAAAGACGGTCCACAGACCCTGCCATTTCCAGCCAGGCCTATGTGGGTCTGGGCCAAGAAGTTTGGAGTGCTCTGGGGAAATAAGGCATATTAAGACACGCCCTTTGCCCAGCAGCCTGCCTTCTGATGGACAGAGGTCAGCTAATGGGTTGCCATGGTTACAACTAGTGTTCAACGGAACTCCTCCTTTAGGGTTCTGGGAAGAGTATTGCTCAACTCAGGATGGGCTGACTGTTTTATTTGGGATTTGTTATTTATGGCTTGGTGCTGTTCTTGTTTTGTGGCTATTTTAGGGTTTGTGTCTGCAGGAGTACTGCTGAAAAGCAGACTTGAGGGCCTGGGCGAGGCTGGTGAGACCAGCAATTGGCAGATTGACAGAAGTGGGGCCTTACCCCAGGTGGCCATGCAGAGGCCCCAGTGTCCTACAGGCTGTACTATGTGAACGCTCAGAAACCATCAGCGTTCTTGTTGAGTGTTCAGAGCAGAATAAAGTAGAGGCCCATATCCCTCCCAGAGAAGAGACTAAGACTTAAAAAATTCCTTGCAGGCTCTAACACATGTCGGGGTGGGGGGAGGAGGGTCATGACTAAGCAGCAGGTGTCCCCAGACTGGATGCTTCTCACCCCAAGCCCAGGAACAAAACCCAGTCTGTCCTCAGAGCTTGCAGACAGCTGCAGCAATTGGTGAGGGCCACCCCACTCTGTTTCTGATTTCCTGGACAACCTCTGTGTCAGGTGCCATCAGACGTGCCTGCTTAGCTGTGGGGTGCCTAGCACCATGGACTTCAGTCATTCAAGCAGGTCTCTATTCTAGTTTTGGCAGCCCAAGAACAAGTTGTACAGGGAGCTGGCTCTTACTGGGGATCCAAAGGGACCCCCATCTCTAGAAACTTGACATAAAGCTGCCAAGTGGGACTAGGATGTTTCTGGCAGGTCCAGGAGTGCTGGCCTCCTTCCTTGTCCTTACCCTGCTCCCTCCTCTGTTCCCTGTGTGGGGTGGTGAGGGACTGAGCTGGGGCAGATGCCTCTATACCATTCTGGGGGTGCTCCCAAGGGGCCCTCCTAGTTGGACAGCAGATTTCTTTTCTTCCTTTTTACCCATGGAGCCATGGCTCCATCTCTCACCTCTCTAAGGACAAGACTAAGAAAGGGCCTTCTGGATTTCTCAGGACAACGTATACTGCAAGTTGACTTTATTTATTTTGTGAAAAGAAGAGAAAGTATTATTTGCAGGGACTGAAAGCTGTACCCAAATCAAGAATGACAAATAATAATACTGTGGACTGTTCACCCTCCACACACACTAGACAACTGGAGGACCGTTCCAAAGGAAGAAGGGGACAAAACCAACAGCATTAGCCCACAATGGCCCCAGGATTCTGTTTAAGGAAGTTCTTTGGCTTCTCTCTTGTTGATCCAAAGATACGACATGAGGGCCCTTTCTGCTGTATCATATCTACCAAGATGTCTGTGATAGGACAGAGGGTGGGTGTGGCCTTGAAACGTATCCCCCTGGGTTTCAGGGATGCCATGGGAACTCTTGGGTTTAGGAGGGACAGTGTAGGGGTAAGTACTGGCTTTCCTCACTGTGGACATGCATTTGGGAGTCTCAGTGTGGAGCTGGGATGGAGAAGGTGGCCCAGCTAGTATAATGGGGCAGCTGTTTACAGAACCCCAAAGATCAGAGGGCCCCAAGCAACCCATAACAATGGTGTCCTTGTCATCTTTGCTGTCTGTCTAGCATTGGAAGGAGCCCCAGCAGAGGTCATGGGATCCCTGGCCCCGGGGGGGAACCTGGCCTGGGTGGTGGGAGGAGACAGGACTGGTTTATTCCCAACCCTAAAGTTCTCTCAGCCTTCTCCTACACTGGAGCTTCTTCTAGTTGGCTATGGCCCTGAACCTTGAAGGACAGGAGCAGAAGACTGAGTGGCTGTGTCCTCAAGGCAAGCTCCCTCCCACTCCCATCGAATCCCAAAGGCAGAGAGAGTGAAGGCAGGTCTCAAAGGGAGAGAAAGGGTGGGGGAGGGGAACAGACCTGCAGAAACCAAATGGACCTTCCTGATCAGTACAGACTGGAAGAAGGAGGAACATGGCTGAAATCAGGGCCATGGGTTTGTATGTGACGGTCCTGGCTGGCATGGGATCCAGCTGGACAGGAGGGGGAGGCCAGGGTTTCATGAATGCAGCCACATCTTTTGGTTGCCCACAGTTGCTGAAATAGTGGAAGCCACTCTTTACCTCAAAAGCCTGAAGCAGAATTGGCAATTTCCGATGTCCTAAGAGCTTCAAAGTCCTTCGGCCATGTGTCTTTTGACACCCATGACCATGGGGAATGAATTTGTTACATGCTTCCGGTGATACAGACAGGACACCATCCTCACAGCCTAGTTTGTGATTAGACCTGCTGCGTGTAGGGAAACAAAGTGACCCTTGCAGACTGCTTCCTCTAGAACTGGATGCTCCCTGAAGTCTCCAGCTCATCTGTATATTCTAGACCCAGTTTGCCTGGCTCTCTTGTGCCCTCCTGGATCCTACAAGCACTGTTTTTGCCAATACTGGGGCCCTGTGTCATGTTTCATAGCCACATGGTACAGGACACCCTCTTCATGGCAGAAGTGGCTGCAGCACATACATGTGTACTTGGAGTATATGCATAGCACATTCGCTCTGCCTCTGGTCCCCTTGCTCCTGTCCCTTTGTCATTGTTGTCCCAAATGTCCTTGCCATGGCCACGGACACTCTTCTGTCTCCTGGAAATGCCGGGGCTGTCTTTCAGAGAGCTGGTGGCCTCAGCACTCAGGGTCTGCTTTTCGGAATAGAATGTGAACCCATTACCTGACGGCTTACTTGACTTATTTAATTAAAAATGAAAACACAACATAAGCAAATTCTGTGTGTTCTTTCACATTTGTTCTCAGCAGCAATTGAGTCATAAAAACGAACAGGAAACCTGGGCATGGTGGTGCATACCCCCAGAACTCAAGGCAGTGGCAGAAGTACTTACGTAGCCTCGGGCTACATAAGGAGACCCTGACTCAAAAAAACTAATTAAATAAATAAACAACAAAATTAACATGAAAAAGCATTACAGCAGTAGGAAAGATGTGACTTCCAGCATGAGGCTTTCTCTGCCTGGTTGTGAGGGCGACAGGCACAAGGGGATTATGGGTAGGCATGGGGGGCTTGGCAAATGTTCTTTACCGTCCTGGATGGCAGAGCTGATGGTGAACATGCTTGGAAGAGCCAGCTGCAAGGATGAGGTCTGAGAGATAAGCACCTAGGTATTATGGAGCAGGAACAAGTCCAAGCTCTGTCACTATCTGGTCATGTGACCTTGGACAAGTCACTTCTCCCATCTGAGCCCTACTTTCTTTTTGGAATGGTATAAGTGGTTGACCGCCACTATCCCAGAAAGCCCTTCAGGGACTCAAAACTCAGCTGAGGGCTGGGGGCATGGCTCAAGTGGTAGAGACCTGCCCAGCAAACTCCACAGTGCCCTTCAGGGGCATACTCCCATGACCTAAAATCCTCCCACTAGGCCCCACCTCTTAAAGGTTCCACTACCTCCCAATAGCACCACTCAGGAACAAGCCTTTAACACATGGGCGTTTGGAGACACACCAGCTCTAAACTACAGCAAGCTTATTGTCTCCTAAAAGCTGCCTGGAGGAATAGGCATTTTCCTGGGGGGAAGGAAGAGTTCATTTGGGGACCCAGGAAGACAGCTGGAAGAGCTGTGTAGGTCTGGGGGCTCTGGGAAAGCAAGAACAGTGGGGAGGCAGAGGAGAGCTGGGCCTTGGGGACAGTGGCTCCTGAAGAGAG